GCACGCATGCACACTCACATGCACGCATGCACAACCCCCCCCCACATAACGGCATCCACACATGCAGGAACCCCAACCCCCCCAAAATTGGACGATCGTGTACACGAAACTTCTGTCCGCCTTGCCGCAGGGTACTTCACTATCCTGATATGGAACTCCACCCATCCCATCCCGCCCATCCCTATGTACCCCTATGTTCCCCTATGCAGGTACTTGCTGCCGCGCCTATGCCTGATGATATCGGGCAGTGCCTCCTCGATATGTCCCTGGTCATGTTGCAGGAGCAGCATCCCTCCAACTCTCCTCCATCCGCATTTACTTCCTATTGGCACCGTCCGCACCGCGTTGCACCGTTTTGCAGCCATGCGCCAATGCATGTGCACCATATATGCTTGCAAGAACTCTCAGCCCCCATGCACCTGAGCGACATCCCCTCGAGGCAACGTCCTAAACATGGGCACCAAGCTCTAACGCGGCCACGCGTGCTTGCACTGGCGCTTCGTGTTTACTTGGCCAACGAGTGCTCCTTGATGCCATGACTTGTGCGAACCCACCCCCATGTTACCCTTGTTCCTGGCACTGCGAGTGTCGACAGTAGCATGTTTTCAAACTCCACTTGCTGTTGAATAATAACAGTATAGTTACTGTGTGCCAAACATAGACCATGTTCACTAGCTATCACTCAAATGACTACACACGAACCCTACAACCCCATCACTTTCAAAGTTGATAACGTCGGGGATCGGAGTGTAGTCGTTGAACCACAACAAATCGTCGTGGTCACATCGCAGGTAATACCCACCCGCTCCGGGCTCTGGGTACAGGGAGGCAATCACTACGTATATCAGCCAGGGAAGCACCACCTGGTCATTCGGGTCCTCCCCCAACAAGTCAGAATACTGCACGTAACAGCGGAATCGGTGGTTCGGCTCCACCTCCACGTCGTCCACGCCAACATCGAGGTTTGCTCCACACGCAACTCGTATCACGCTCTCAACCGTACGATGGGTTGCAAAACGTCCTACAACACCTTCAGAGGGAAATGACAACCAATTGGCTGCCCACTTGTGCAGCACGTCATGCTGCTTTGGGAATCGCCTGCCAAATTCATAGATTGTCCAGCAATACAACGGGTTCACAATGATTGGGGGAAGACCGGAGCGAACACGGACGCGTCGCCCTGTGGGCGTGGGCAATGTCCGGCTCCGAACACTGCTCGTTCCCACAGCCATGTTCGATGAGGTTGAGGCACTCTCCAGCTGTATCTCTTCCTCGTTCTCTTCAAGATCGTCCTGCGAAACAAGGCGTACCCCTTCTGGCCGGCGGGGCATGAGCGCTCTACAGCGAGGCCTGCAGGGGAGAAAACCACAAGGATCACGGTCAGTGGAGTAAACATGCAAATTCTCAAGTTCGTGCATGTGCTCCAAGGGTACGAATGCCCAAAGCATAATAAAAAGCAACCGAGCGGTCTTACCTAACAGGCCCCACAGTTCGCACGCGCCTAGCACGCCCACTGCCCGTGCCTTGTCGGTGCGACATTTGCATACCACCGTCACACTGGGTGGAGGAAGTTTCACACGATCGAAAGGGCGGCGAAGAGAGAGAGCAAGGTGAGGGACCTGGCACATGTGGTGTGCAAGATCAGGCAGTGCCACGGGAGTGTGATAGGGCAAGAAGGGTGTAAGGCAGCGACGGGAAAGGGGCAAGATGGTGTAAGGCAGATAAGCGAAGGAAAGAGAAGAAGGGGGTAAGGCAGAGAGGGAAAAGGGGGATGAAGGAGGTAAGGAAGAGAGGGGGAAGCGAGGAGAAAAGAGTGAAGCAGAGAGGGGTAGGAAGAAGAATGGTGTAGGGAAGAGAGGGGAAAGGGGGATGAGGGGCCATACGGAAAAAGCAAAGTGGAGTTTGGGGGTGGCCGGGCTGGTGCGTTCAGAGCCTAAGGGAGAGAAAGGGGTGTAGCCATGGGGAGTACGGGACAACAAGGGGTATTTATGAAGGGAAGGGAGAGAAGGGAGTGAAGGGAGGGAAGGGAGGGAAGGGAGGGAAGGGAGAGGAGGGAGTGAAGGGAGGGAAGGGAGAGAAGGGAGGGAAGGGAGAGGAGGGAGTGAAGGGAGAGAAGGGAGGGAAAGGAAGGAAGGGAGGGAAGGGAGGGAAGGGAGGGAAGGGAAGGAAGGGAGGGAAGGGAGGGAAGGGAGGGAAGGGAAGGAAGGGAGGGAAAGCCGAAAAGGAAGGGGAAGGGAGGGCTGGGAGGGAGGATGGGAAGCGAGGGACGGGACGGAAGGGAGCGAAAGGAGAGATGGGTGTGACGGGAGAGAAGGGTAGCAGGGATTGGAGGGGTAGGAAGGAAGGGAGGGAAAGGAGGAAGGGAGAGAAGAGAGGGCAGGGAAAGAAGGGAGGGAAGGGAGGGAAGGGAGGGAAGGGAGCGAAAGGAGAGATGGGTGTGACGGGAGAGAAGGGAGGAAGCAGGGATTGAAGGGGTAGGAAGGAAGGGAGGGAAAGGATGAAGGGAGAGAAGGGAGGGAAGGGAAGGAAGGGGGGGTAGGGAGGGACGGAAGGGAAGGGAGGGAAGGGAAGGAAGGGAGGGAAGGGAGGGAAGGGAGGGAAGAGAGAAAAGGAGGGGGGAGGGAGGGAAGCTGGGAAGCGAGGGACGGGACGGAAGGGAGCGAAAGGAGAGATGGGTGTGACGGGAGAGAAGGGAAGCAGGGATTGAAGGGGTAGGAAGGAAGGGAGGGAAGGGAGAGGAGGGAGTGAAGGGAGAGAAGGGAGGGAAGGGAGAGAAGGGAGGGAAGGGAGAGGAGGGAGTGAAGGGAGAGAAGGGAGGGAAGGGAAGGAAGGGAGGGAAGGGAGGGAAGGGAAGGAGGGAGGGAAGGGAGGGAAAGGAAGGAGGGAGGGAAGGGAGGAAGGGAGAGAAGGGAGGGAAGGGAAGGAAGGGAGGGAAGGGAGGGAAGAGAGGGAAGGGAGAGGAGGGAGTGAAGGGAGAGAAGGGAGGCAAGGGAGAGAAGGGAGGGAAGGGAGTGAAGGGAGGGAAAGGAGAGCAGGGAGGGAGGGGAGAGAAGGGAGGGATGGGAGGGAAGGGAGGGAAGGGAGAGAAGAGAGGGAAGGGAGAGGAGGGAGTGAAGGGAGAGAAGGGAGGGAAGGGAGAGAAGGGAGGGAAGGGAGGGGAGGGAGTGAAGGGAGAGAAGGGAGGGAAGGGAAGGAAGGGAGGGAAGGGAGGGAAGGGAAGGAGGGAGGGAAGGGAGGGAAAGGAAGGAAGGGAGGGAAGGGAGGAAGGGAGAGAAGGGAGGGAAGGGAAGGAAGGGAGGGAAGGGAGGCAAGAGAGGGAAGGGAGAGGAGGGAGTGAAGGGAGAGAAGGGAGGCAAGGGAGAGAAGGGAGGGAAGGGAGAGAAGGGAGGGAAAGGAGAGCAGGGAGGGAGGGGAGAGAAGGGAGGGATGGGAGGGAAGGGAGGGAAGGGAGAGAAGAGAGGGAAGGGAGAGGAGGGAGTGAAGGGAGAGAAGGGAGGGAAGGGAGAGAAGGGAGGGAAGGGAGGGGAGGGAGTGAAGGGAGAGAAGGGAGGGAAGGGAAGGAAGGGAGGGAAGGGAGGGAAGGGAAGGAGGGAGGGAAGGGAGGGAAAGGAAGGAAGGGAGGGAAGGGAGGAAGGGAGAGAAGGGAGGGAAGGGAGGGAGGGAAGGGAGGGAAGAGAGGGAAGGGAGAGGAGGGAGTGAAGGGAGAGAAGGGAGGCAAGGGAGAGAAGGGAGGGAAGGGAGTGAAGGGAGGGAAAGGAGAGCAGGGAGGGAGGGGAGAGAAGGGAGGGATGGGAGGGAAGGGAGGGAAGGGAGAGAAGAGAGGGAAGGGAGAGGAGGGAGTGAAGGGAGAGAAGGGAGGCAAGGGAGAGAAGGGAGGGAAGGGAGTGAAGGGAGGGAAAGGGAGAGGAGGGAGTGAAGGGAGAGAAGGGAGTGAAGGGAGAGAAGGGAGGGAAGGGAAGGAAGGGAGGGAAGGGAGGGAAGGGAAGGAGGGAGGGAAGGGAGGGAAAGGAAGGAAGGGAGGGAAGGGAGGAAGGGAGAGAAGGGAGGGAAGGGAAGGAAGGGAGGGAAGGGAGGGAAGAGAGGGAAGGGAGAGAAGGGAGGCAAGGGAGAGAAGGGAAGGAGGGAGTGAAGGGAGGGAAAGGAAGGAAGGGAGGGAAGGGAGGGAAGGGAGGGAAGGGAGGGAAGGGAAGGAAGGGAGGGAAGGGAAGGAAGGGAGGGAAGGGAGGGAACCGAGAAAATGAAGGGGAAGGGAGGGAAGGGAGAGCTGGGAGGGGAAGGGAAGGGAGAGGGAGAGAAGGGAGGGAAGGGGAGCAGGGAGAGCGAGGGAGAGAATGGAGGGAAAGGAGAGCTGGGAGGGAGGGGAGAGGTGTACGGGAGGTGGGTAGAGGAGTGCGGGAGGTGGGGAGAGGAGCTCGGGAGGTGGGGAGAGGAGTGCGGGAGGTGGGGAGAGGAGCACGGGAGGTGGGGAGAGGAGCACGGGAGGCGGGGACAGGAGTGCGGGAGGCGGGGAGAGGACCACGGATGGCGCGGAGAGGAGATCGGATGGCGGGCGCGTGAGAACGGGACGCGTGTGCCTGGATCGGGACTTGGGTTATGGAGAACGGGATGCGGGAACGTGCGAACGGGAGTTGGGACGTTGTTTTACGGATGGAGGGAGGGGGAGATAGAGAGGCGGGCAATCGATCTGCGAAGCGGGAAGGGAAGAGGTGCATGCGGGAAGGGGGCACGCGCGAGGCGGATTCGAGAGTGTGGGAGGCGGTAATAAGATCCCGTATTGAGGCGGGATGGGAGTAGGGAAGTTCCGCTAAGCTGGAGGGAACGTGTCCCGGATCGGAAGCTTGGGTCGCGCACACACCTGTGGCTTGTTCAGATATTGCGGAAACGGGCACACCCTTCCAGCGAGCTGCGCGCGACAAGTACCGATTCTGCGAGTGCGTATGGCTAATCGGAACTCCGCGGAGTCGCTTTCCGTATTCTTAGCGGCGTAAAGATCTAGTTTGATGGGACTGCGCCAAGCCGCGTTCGGCGAAGAGGGACTGCAGCTCGCCTGCGTCGGGAAATCTCCTACTGTAGGCGTGGTCTGCGTTCTAATCCTGGCATTTCGGCGCCTATCGCGTGCGCGGCGACGGCACGAGCTCTGCCGTGGTTCGGCGTCTGTGCGCAGAGATGAGGCACTAGCGGGTCAAGGCCGCGAGGGGAAGGCACGGCGTAGGGTACGTAGAATGGGACGCGAGATAGGCGCGGATCCTTCGCGAGGATGTCCGTGTGCTGGCGTGGCGTCCGATTTCCTAAGTAGGGCTAAGTCGGAGGGCTCCTAGGCGCCTGACGTAGACGTTCGCGCGACGCCAAGCACGCGCGACCCTTTCCGCTAGAGTGTTCACATGTGCGCTGAGGCGTGGCGAGTGGGCTACGTGGGAGTTGGATCTGGTATACTTCTGCCAAAACTATAAACTTTGGCCCCCTGGTGAGCATTAGCGTGGGAGGGTGGGCACGTCGCGGGAATTTGACGCTGGTGGGGGTTGTAATTTGGTACCATGCTGTACCTTTATAAACTTTTGGCACTGGCCCTGCCAAATGTATACCGCTGCTTTAACTGACGGCGCGTATGTTTTTTTGAGGGGGCAGATGGCTTGCATTTTGTTATACCCTCAAACCGGGCTGAAGTTCATACGGGGGACCCTTGTTCTGACCATAAATCTGCCCCCTTCCAAAAACGCAATGAAGCAGCAACGGGAAATGGTCGTTTGAAAACTAAACCGCCTGTTCTGGCCATCATCTCCCATTCTTGCCCCTGGATAACTGTAGCAACAGAAGTATTTCTCGACTTTCTGTTCGTTTCAGGTTCGGAATGGGTTTTTGATGTTGTTTGATCAGTTTAGTTTACGTTCGGCATTTCAGTCAGTCGCATGACGGTCGCACGCGATTTTCGTGGTGCCGAACCACTAAACGTAGTCAGTTGCGGGTCCCTAACGGCCAAACTGACCAAATTTTGGGGTTTGTGAGTGCTACCGAACAGGGCCTACTAAACATTCCCGAAGCATTCCCATACCACCCACACTAATTACCAGAACTTTCCGTGTAGACGATGTACTTTTGTCCGAGGATTCTCACAGCGTCGTTTCTGTACTATTTTTTTGTAGAGGCGTTCTCACTCCAGCGATAAGGGTACGCTGCAAGGGCTCGTATCAGATGTTGTCGTGGTGGCTTTGCTCGAGCAGATGCTTTGAAACTCCCTGATTCCGCCTCCACACGCCTCTTCGTTTCGTCTCCCCGTGCTCACAGCTGCTCCGCGTCTCCCCGTGTGTGGGTGCAGGCGGAAGCGGGGTGGGTGGCGATGGGGGCGGGGAAGCGGAACGCGGTGACGCAGGAGGCGTTCGACGCGCTGGTGCGGGAGGGCATGGACGAGTTCGACATGGCGCCGGGCGAGGCGGTGGAAGACGCCGTGCGCACCCTCACCATGCAGGGCGCTGACCTCACAGGTGCGCCCCTCACCATGCAGGGCGCTGACCTCACAGGTGCGCCCCTCACCATGCAGGGCGCTGACCTCACAGGTGCGCCCCTCACCATGCAGGGCGCTGACCTCACAGGTGCGCCCCTCACCATGCAGGGCGCTGACCTCACAGGTGCGCCACTGCTTCGCGCCTCCTCGCGGCTGCAATGGCGGGTGTGTGTGTTTGAGGAGGAGGGCGGGGGCGGGGGGGGGAGCGTGGGCAGGCGGGCAGCGTTTTCCCGTGAGGTGCTCTTCCACCTCCCTCTCTCACGCACCGTGAGGTGCTCTTCCACCTCCCTCTCTCACGCACCGTGAGGTGCTCTTCCACCTCCCTCTCTCACGCACCGTGAGGTGCTCTTCCACCTCCCTCTCTCACGCACCGTGAGGTGCTCTTCCACCTCCCTCTCTCACGCACCGTGAGGTGCTCTTCCACCTCCCTCTCTCACGCACCGTGAGGTGCTCTTCCACCTCCCTCTCTCACGCACCGTGAGGTGCTCTTCCACCTCCCTCTCTCACGCACCGTGAGGTGCTCTTCCACCTCAAACGGTCCTTTGTATTAATTCAGCAGGGGTACAAACATGCGGTGCTATCCATGATAACCTCTATCCCTTAAGCCCCAAAACTTACCACTCTTCACCCCCCCCCCTGAGTGACCCTCTAGCCCTCCAGCGTGTGGAGGATGTCCCCCAGGTGCAGCGGCCAGGGGTCCGCTGCCATCTGGGGGTGCGCTGCCTCGATCCCAGCCCTGGCCTTGGTGTGCAGGGCATTAGCCTGGGAGCGCTGGAGGGCCACTGACCAGCGCTGGCTGAAGTGGCAGGCCATCTTCTTGGCCGATTTCGCCAGGGGGTTGGCCCTGAACCGGTTCCTAGCTGCTGCTGTGGCCAGCAGCTTCAGGAACGCAGTCGTGGTGGGCGCGTTTGCCCCGTAGGTCTCGACGGCTAGGGCGCAGAACACCACGTGTTCCGTGTGTCGGTAGTACTCCCTCTCCTTCCGCCTCTGTGCCTCTCTAGCAGCCCAGCCTGGGGTTTTGCGGGCTGTGGGGTCCCGGTTCTGCAGCACGGGGTCTGTGATAGTGGTGTCTGTGATCCAAGTCTCTCCACTGTCCGGGTCGCGTACAATCACATCGGCTTTCTTCGGGTCATCCGGCGGTGAGTACATGGCGTTCTCCAGGTATACCACCAGCTGTGCTTCCCTTGCCATTTTAGCCACGGCAAAAGCTAGCTGGTTGTGTGTGCGTGTCCTGTCGGGGCCTGTGCTGCAGCGGAGTAGGTGGTTGGGTAGGCTGCAGTCGGCTACGAGTTCTCCACACTCGCACACAGTGGGTACATTCTGTCGGATGCCCATGCGGAAGGCCAGGGCTGCTCGGAATTGTCCCGGTGAGAAGCAAAGGTCCGGGGTCAAAGGTAGGGCCTGCAGCCATGCTCCCGCTCCCTCCCCTCTCAGGCTGATGAGGCGGAGTGAGTGACCCATCTCGGGGGCTGACTGGATGGTGCGTGACTCCTCTGTCAAGGCGTCGGCCTTTGCCGCGTGCACCTCCTGAGAGAGGGCGCGTTGCAGCTGGTCTTGGGACGGGGTTTGCTGCTCCTCCCGGAGGTTTTGTAGCGCCAGCGGTGGCAGGCGCCCCTCCATGTCCTGGATGGTTACTGAGTGCGCTGCGGACGGCTGCAGGGTGTTGTTGTTGGCCCCCAGTGCCGCGGTTGCTGGTAGGTCAAGGGAGCGGAGCAGTCGTAGCGCCTCCGTCGTTGATGCCAGGTAGGCCGGTGCTGCTTCTGTTGTGGGGTCTGTAAGTCCCAGCCCGCCCAGGGCGACTGGAAGAGTTGCTTGTCGGAGCAGGAAGTTGAACTCGGCTTCTCGGCGTGGCGGTTGAATGCTGGCGGCGGTCAAGGCCGTGTGCAGTAGTTCGGAGCACCATGTGTGCCATTCCGAGAGGGGTAAGACGTCTGCTGGGGTAGTGCGTAGCAGGTAGCCGATTCTGCGGCTGATGCAACGGGACAGTAGCAGGAGGGCATGTTGTGGGTGGATGGACGCCAGGGAACCCAAGGGGGCTGCCGCGTCTGTCAGGGTACTGCGGACAAAGGCAGAAGCTCTGCGACCCCACAGGACTTCCCAACACCCGTACCCCCTCGTGGGTGTGGGGGAGGCCTTCAGGGAGCACGACACCTCCAAGCGGCATGGAGGACCACGCCGACGACTTCATAAAGTTGCAGGTGAGGCCATCCTGTGCTAGTAGCGGCGTGAGCTCCCTTAGCGCGTCTAGCGTCGCCGTCGCGGGTCCAATCATGGTTATGTCGTCTGCGTACGCGAGGACGGTGACTTCCGGGTGCTCCGCTGCCACGTGCCTGAGGTGCTGCTGGATAGACGCCGCGAATAGCAGGGGTCCGAGGGGATCCCCCTCCCCTCTCTCACGCACCGTGAGGTGCTCTTCCACCTCCCTCTCTCACGCACCGTGAGGTGCTCTTCCACCTCCCTCTCTCACGCACCGTGAGGTGCTCTTCCACCTCCCTCTCTCACACACCGTGAGGTGCTCTTCCACCTCCCTCTCTCACGCACCGTGAGGTGCTCTTCCACCTCCCTCTCTCACGCACCGTGAGGTGCTCTTCCACCTCCCTCTCTCACGCACCGTGAGGTGCTCTTCCACCTCCCTCTCTCACGCACCGTGAGGTGCTCTTCCACCTCCCTCTCTCACGCACCGTGAGGTGCTCTTCCACCTCCCTCTCTCACGCACCGTGAGGTGCTCTTCCACCTCCCTCTCTCACGCACCGTGAGGTGCTCTTCCACCTCCCTCTCTCACGCACCGTGAGGTGCTCTTCCACCTCCCTCTCTCACGCACCGTGAGGTGCTCTTCCACCTCCCTCTCTCACGCACCGTGAGGTGCTCTTCCACCTCCCTCTCTCACGCACCGTGAGGTGCTCTTCCACCTCCCTCTCTCACGCACCGTGAGGTGCTCTTCCACCTCCCTCTCTCACGCACCGTGAGGTGCTCTTCCACCTCCCTCTCTCACGCACCGTGAGGTGCTCTTCCACCTCCCTCTCTCACGCACCGTGAGGTGCTCTTCCACCTCCCTCTCACGCACCGTGAGGTGCTCTTCCACCTCCCTCTCTCACGCACCGTGAGGTGCTCTTCCACCTCCCTCTCTCACGCACCGTGGGCAGCTTGTAGCAACGTTGGCAAGCGGGAAAGTGTGCTCCTATTCCCCATGCCCCTCCACCCCGCGTGCATGGCCTGCCAGGCATCGTGACGGCCTACAGCGCCACAGGGCAGCGCGCCGAGCACCCGGCAGCAGCGGCGGCCACACAGCTTGCAGCGGCGCTGGCAGGGTGGAAGGAGAGACAAGGAGGGGGCGAAGGTGAAGGTGCTTATAGCGGTGCTGACTTCCATGTGAGTGTTTGGTGGGGGGTGGAGGAGGTAGGCAGGGAGGTGGGTGGGTAGAGAACAGAAGGGATTGTAGAAGGGTAAACTCGAGATCGCACGCCAAAATGCCCACATCTTGCTGTCAAAACACCCTCGTGCACTCAACGGTTCTGAGCAAAAAATACACTAGCGGCTGCAAAACTCTCCTGTACCAGATCCAAACTTGGGGTTTGTCAGGAAACAAATGTTTTTTTTTTTTTTTTTTGCCTTTTACCCGGCTCAAGTTTTTATATTCTAAAAACTGCGTTCATGACCCCTAGTTTTTTTGCAGCTCACATGCCTTGCAGTTTCGCGATTAGGCACCTATCCTGCTTTTGGACTGCAAAATTCCGAAGATGGGCCAGAGGAGGAGACCTGCCGGCACGGAACTTTCTGAACGGGTTCATTCAGATGCCGTGTGTGTGCAGAACAGGACCAGTGTGTGTGCAGAACAGGACCAGTGTGTGTGCTGCATCTAAGGGTGTTGGCAGCTTCCAGCCACCACCTTACGCTTCGCCCCTCGCCACCCTCTCCCGTTGTTCTCCCAGGCAGTGCTGCACGCGCTGTGCGCCCTCTCGCACGCGCTGAGCCCCTCTGTGGACGGCTCTCAGGGCGGAGAGGCGGAGCAGCAAGGCAGGAGGGAAGAAAGTGCAACCGCAGCAGCGGGTGGATCAGGGCCAGGGGAAGCAGCAGTGGTGGCGGGGCGGAACGAGGGATTGCCGGCAGCTGTGGGCGCGCTGGGAGTGGTGATAGGGGCGGTGGAGAGGGGGGAGAAGGGAGGAGAGGGGGAGGAGGGCGAGGAGGGGGGCGGGAGGGTGGAGAGGGCGGTGTGTGACGCGCTGACATGCACTGAGGCGCTGCTCACCCATGGTGAGACAGTGACGCATGGCACATGCTCCCACCATGCTCCCACCATGCTCCCACCATGCTCCCACCATGCTCACACCATGCTCACACCATACTCACACCATGCTCCCACCATGCTCCCACCATGCTCACACCATGCTCACACCATGCTCCCACCATGCTCCCACCATGCTCCCACCATGCTCCCACCATGCTCACACCATGCTCACACCATGCTCCCACCATGCTCACACCATGCTCACACCATGCTCCCACCATGCTCCCACCATGCTCCCACCATGCTCCCACCATGCTCACACCATGCTCACACCATGCTCACACCATGCTCCCACCATGCTCCCACCATGCTCCCACCATGCTCACACCATGCTCACACCATGCTCCCACCATGCTCACACCATGCTCCCACCATGCTCACACCATGCTCGCACCGTGCTCCCACCAAACTCCCTTGGAGCACACCCACCTGCTGTGTCTGCCTGAAGTCACGCATCCTGCATTCTTCTCCTTCTCAATGCCTTCCAGTTCACTCCTCTGGTTCTCATTCATCTCTCCCCTCCCCCTCGACCACCTCACTGCAGTACCCGGGGCACGGGACCACTTCTTCCGTCTCGCTGGTCCGCCTCTCCTCGCCGCTGCCCTCCCTGTCCCGCCCTTCTCCTCCTGCAGCCTCACTCGTGTGGCCGCAGCTGCGCGCACGGTACGGGCAGCGAGTGTGGAGAACGAGGTCATCAAGGAGGCGCTCATGGACGCCGCCCTCCACGTGGCGCTCCTCAATGCCATTCGTGGGATCGTGCAGTTCAAACGCACTGCTGACGTGGATAGCAGCATCACTGACGTGGCAGAAGCAGGGAGCGCCACGTGTGCGTGCTGTGGGGCGGTGAGGGCGCTGCTGACGAATGACGACGTGCGGGTGGCGGCGTCCAAGACCTTCTCCAACGCGCGCTCCGTGGCCGAGGCGGGTGCCGTGGACGCGCTGCTCAGCGCCGCTGCTGCCTTCTCCTCCGACGTCGCCGTGCTGCCCTCCGTGCTGCCCTCCGTGCTGGCTGCTCTCAAGGCCATTGCTGTCAACGTGAGTGCCCCTCACACGTGCACGTGTTTCCTTCACAGCATGCTGCTGCTGCTGCTTCTGCTGCCACGGTGGAGTGTGACGACGATCATCATCATCACCACCACCACCATTGTCCCCATCCCCTCATCTTGGCCTCCTCCCTTGCCGTCTTTCCTCATCTTGGCCTCCTCCGTTGCCGTCTTTCCTCATCTTGGCCTCCTCCGTTGCCGTCTTTCCTCATCTTGGCCTCCTCCGTTGCCGTCTTTCCTCATCTTGGCCTCCTCCGTTGCCGTCTTTCCTCATCTTGGCCTCCTCCGTTGCCGTCTTTCCTCATCTTGGCCTCCTCCGTTGCCGTCTTTCCTCATCTTGGCCTCCTCCGTTGCCGTCTTTCCTCATCTTGGCCTCCTCCGTTGCCGTCTTTCCTCATCTTGGCCTCCTCCGTTGCCGTCTTTCCTCATCTTGGCCTCCTCCGTTGCCGTCTTTCCTCATCTTGGCCTCCTCCGTTGCCGTCTTTCCTCATCTTGGCCTCCTCCGTTGCCGTCTTTCCTCATCTTGGCCTCCTCCGTTGCCGTCTTTCCTCATCTTGGCCTCCTCCCTTGCCGTCTTTCCTCATCTTGGCCTCCTCCGTTGCCGTCTTTCCTCATCCCACTTGGCCTCCTCCGTTGCCGTCTTTACTCATCCCACTCCCCACGGTGTGCCCCCAGGAGGACATCTGTCGCAGCATTGCCGCTCTCTCCGGGGTGCCCCTCGTGCTCGCCCACCTGCGGGCCGCCCTCGCCTCGCACTGCTCTCCGCTCGCTGCTCCTTCCGCCGCACTGCTGGCGCAGGTGGGTGCTGGCGCAGGAAGTTAGTAGTAAGGGAAAACTGCCAGTATCTAGCCGTTTGAAATGCTAATGCTGATTGGTAGATGTGGCAACCAGCACTACTTTGCATCACCACCAACAGTACTTCTCTGTTTATCGAGGCAAAGTCCACCCTCCTCTTTTCAGCAAATCTCCTCCCCTCGTGCTTCTTGCATCGCTTGTCCAAATCCGCCTCTTCTCGTGTGTGCGTCTCTTTCATCGCCAGCTGGCAGGCAGTGACGCCAACAAGGTGCTCATTGTGGAGACAGGTGGCATTCCCGTATTGGTGGAAGCAGTGAAAGCATTTGTGGACGATGGGGCTGTGCTTCAAGAGGTATGGGGCTGTGCTTCAAGAGGTATGGGGCTGTGCTTCAAGAGGTATGGGGCTGTGCTGCAAGAGGTACGGTTGCTGCTGCTGATTTTCTGCCATCCAAGTGTGATGAGGAACGGACGTGGACGGGAACGGTTGTGCGTCCGCAAGGATTCATTGGGAGGAACATTCCCAAGCGGCTGTGCCTTGCCATCACCTCGCACACCACGCGCCCTCGGCCCGCCGCCTCCCTCCTCGCTCCTGTGCAATGCTCTCATGCCTTAGCATGCTCGCCTTGTAATTTCATAAATAATCAGCTTGCCACTTGCGTTGCCTCCCTGTTAAGCCCTCCTCGCCCCACCCCCTCCTCGTCCTCACCTCGCTCACCTCTTCTTCTCCTCCCCGCAACTTCTCGCCTGCCAGCACCCGTGGCTGCACAATTGTTCACCCCACCACTCACTTCTTCGCCTTCCCTCCCCTCTTCCCCACCATCGGCCCCCCGCCCCCCATGCAGCTGCTGGCGTGTCTGGCAGCCGTGACGCTGCGTAGCCCAGCGCATGCAGCAGCGGCGGTGGCGGGCGGCTTGTTGGAGGCGGCGGTGGAGGCCATGGAGGGGCGCGGCGCCACGGCGGGCAGCCAGTGGCAGGCGTGCCAGCTGCTGCGCAACCTCGCTGTGCGCAACCCCGAACACCGGTAAGCCCCTCCCCTGCCCCATCCCCTGCCCCCGCTGCTGCCCCCTCTGCTGCCTGCTGAACTGCTCTCCCTTGTGCCTCGCTGCCCCCTGCTTGTATGCTTCTGCATGTCTCTCATCTCCTGCTTCAGTAGGTCGTCTGCTGCTGAGAATCCGGTCACACGCATGTAGTCTTCAGGGTGAACATCTCCTCTTCCCCCATCCCCCCCTTGGCGCAGGCCAATAATGGTGGAGATGGGACTGGAGGCCGTGATTCGCAACGTCAAGAGCAAGCACAAGTCATGCCGTGACGTGTGCTCCGCTGCACTAAGAGACATGGGCCTGGATAACTATAATCAGTAGTGCTGGTCACCGCACCTCGTACATACGGTACATGACACTCTTTCTAAAAGTGTGGTTTTTCTCTTACACTGAAAACAATCACCGTCATCGCCCGGATATAAGACATATACCGTATCACCCCGGATATAAGCGCATATGCGCTTATAATAAATTCATTTTTTTGAGGGGGGGAGGGCGCTTGTAATTGAGTAACGGCGATAAGCGCCGGCGCTTATACAATGACAAATACGAAAGTATATATTTAGAGCACCAAATTGTTCATTTTCTTCTTGCCATTTCAACCGAGTCGAAATGTTTTAGCGTCACAAAGCAGAATCTCGCGCAAGCGATACCGTATTCTGGGTTCACACACAGGCAAAGCCACGTCATGCCAGCACATCCTGACTGGACGCGCAGCCAGTCAGGTCTTCGCGAGTCAAACGAAGCGAAATTGAAATCTGACTCGCTGCAAGAATTTAAATTCAAATTGCACGTGCGCTTAAGTAAAGGTTTTCTAGGGGGGGCGCTTATAATTGAGGACCGGCCATAAGCGCCATGCTCCAGATATAAGCGCCGGCGCCTTTAATAGGACGGCGCCTATATCCGGGGCCATACGGTATGTCTTATCTTATACGTTGTAAATAAAGATTGATGTGTCTTGTATTTGGGACGGTTTAGGGTGTCTTATAATTCTTATAAATAGACAAAATTTATAACATTGACAAAGTGTGTAGAAACCACCCAGGGGGTGGATTCATTGAATTCGGCCGCACATTGACGGTGATGCATGCATCGCCACCACGTGCCACGTGATGGGACGCAGCAATGCTGCTTGTGCTGGCAGCATTCCGCCCTGCTGGCAGCATCTCATAATGCTGCTAGTGTCGTTTTGCTGCCAGCAGCGACCAGAGGCTTCTAGAACGCTGCTAGCAGCACGATGGCAGCATGCTGCCACCATGAGCTGTCCTCTACGAGGACTGTCAGAAATAGAAAAGAAGAATGACTAGAATGAAAGCAGTACAAGGTTTGTATAGCAAAACCTAATTGGGCCGTGCCCCTTAAGGAGTGCCCCACTACAGCCTAGAGCATATAAATGCATAGTTCTGACACACCCCCATAGGCAAAGTGGGGGACAAGCAAGAGAACGAAGCAAGGTCAAGCTCAGGGTGGATCACAACGTCACCACGCATTCTGAGCACAAGCAAATGGCCACAAGGCCAGTTCATATGCAGAGTTATATATAAAAAAAAGAACAAGCAGTGCAGTGATCAGAACCTAGCAAGTGTAAGCATGCAGGTATAAGTATATAGAAAACAGTACAAGCAAAGTCAAGAAGTGAGTAAGTGAGGCCAAGTAGGCACAAGGCCTAGAACAGTACAGAAACGCTGATGATCACAAGGCTGAAGTGCCTTGGTGAAGATATCAGCAGTGTTGGCCTGAGAGGCCACGTAAACAAGACGAAGATGACCACGCTGCTGCAACTCTCGAGCAAGGAAGTAGCGCAGAGCGATGTGCTTCATTCTGTGCTCCAGTCTGTGCTCCTGACACAAGGCAATCATGGCCTTGTTGTCGACGTACAGAACTGGAGGAGAACGAGGCGGCTCTCCCAAGTCGGTCAGCAGGTAGGTGAGCCAGCGTAACTCCTGTGCAGCCATGGCCCCTGCGTAGATCTCAGCCTCACAACTGGAGCTGAGAACAGAAGACGAGCGGGTAGACTGCCAAGAAACAGAGCCAGAGCCAAGGCTGAAAGTGTAACCCTGTGACGACCGCTGCGTAGCCAAGTCGTCAACCCAAAAAGCGTCTGTGTGACCAGTGAGGACAACTCGAGCCCGTCCTCCAAGCACGAGCCCCATGCCCGACGTACTGCACAAGTAGCGCATCACCCTCTTAGCGGCCTTCCAGTGCTCTGGTCGGTGTCTCCCAGGCGCAACGTAGCGAGCCAGGATGCTAAGAGGGTAAGCAAGGTCAGGTCGAGTGCAGGTCATCAGGTACATGAGGCAGCCCACAAGCTCTGGATACGGCCCACTCGGCTCTACTGACTCATCCGAAGGCAGAGCTGAGAGCGAGTGACCGGTAGGCAGAGGAGTGGCCTGTGGCGAGGAGTACTCGAAGCGGAAGCGCTGAAGGACCTGCTGCACCATGTGTGACTGAGTCAAGGTAATGGTGCGCCGTGCTCTGTCCTGGGTGATTTGCAAGCCAAGATAGCTGCGCAGCTCACCCAGGTCTGTGCACGTGTGTCTCTTCTGCAGCTCCGACTTCACGTGGGCGAGTCCCTCAGTGTCAGCAGTGGCAAAGACCAAGTCGTCGACGTACACGAGGATGTAGAACGGCGGCAGAGAAGTGTCGGTGCGTAGAAACAGCGACGGGTCAGCAGTAGAAGGAGCAAACCCAAGAGCCGCAAGAGTCGTCCTCAGTGTGTCATGCCACTCGCGAGGCGCCTGGCGGAGACCGTAGACTGGCCGCCGGAGGCTCCACTGGGTACCTGCAGGAAACGACCCAGTGAAGCCAGGTGGGCGGCGCAGCCAGATCTCCTCGTGCAGGCTGCCCTGTAGGAAAGCAGTGCTGAAGTCAAGAGAGTGAAGCTCGTAGTCACGCTGAGCGGCGACGTGCAGCAGAACCCGAAGAGTGGTCATCTTCGGGGTAGGGGAGAAGGTATGGAAGAAGTCAACTCCCTGTCGCTGACTGAAGCCTCGTGCAACGTAACGCGCCTTGAAGACAGGCGGAGAACCCGGCGGCCGCTTCACCCTGAAAATCCACATGCCACTGACGATGTTCGCCCCAGGTGGGGGAACCTCGTCAACGTAAGTGCCTGTGGACTTCCAGGATGCCATCTCTGCGTCCATGGCTGTCTGCCACTGAGAGGAGTAGGGACCCTCTATCGCCTCTGCGTAAGAGCGCGGGGTCGGGATGTCTGGTGCATCCGGGTCTCCCTCAGGTGCAATCAGCATGGACACGAGATGAGGTACAGCAGCTGCAAAACACTCAAAGTCCTCCTGCCTGTCCTCAAGGACGTCCGTGCCAAGAGCACACTCACCCCCGACGGACGGAGGACAGACAGACTCAGACTCAGCAACAAGACTAGCGGCGTAGTCTAGACGACAGGCGGCAGCAAAGTCAACCAGCTCAGCAACTAGGGCAGACGCAGCAGTGGACTCAAACGAAGGGTCAGTGACAACAGTGGCTAGAAGACGCATGACAGTAGGACTGGCAGCACGAGCAAGGTCTGACGGCGGGTCAGGGATGTCAGGAAGAGAGGACGCAGGAGGAGACGGCAGAGGGACACGCTGTGGAGCAGTGGAAGGACGGAGTGCCATCTGGTGCGTGCCTGGGACAGCAGGAGGACGCGGACGCGGAACACGACCAGTGCGAACAGTGCGAACAGGCGACGCATGACGAGACTCAGGCTCACGACGCTCCGTAAGACCTCTAGTCGGCCCAGAGTAAGGAGAAGGACCAGGCAGCGGAGAGGCTGGCTGTAACTGCGACTGCGATTGATCAGGCGGTGGATACAGTAAGGGAGGAGTAGGACCAGAAGAAGGCGGGAGACTAAGAACCTGCTGAAGGAGTGGAACGAAGTACGGCCGCGGCCGCGCAGCGCCTCCAGAACCAGCGGAGACAACACCCGTACCCCCAGCTCCAGGGTCTCCAGCTCCAACTCCCGCAGCACCACCAGCTCCAGCACCTCCAGCAGCTCCAGCTCCAGCAGCACCTCCAGGAGCAACAGCTCCAGCGCCTCCAGCTCCAAAACCTGCAGCACCACCAGCTCCAGTCGCTCCAGTACCTCCAGTACGAGCACCTCCGGGACCAGCGGCTCCAGCACCTCCAGCAGCTCCAGCACCAGCAGTACCTCCAGCAGCTCCAGCTCCAGCAGCTCCAGTACCTCCAGTACGAGCACCTCCGGCAGCTCCAGCACCAGCAGGACCTCCAGCAGCTTCAGCTCCAGCAGCACCTCCAGCTCCAGCAGCTCCAGTACCTCCAGTACGAGCACCTCCGGGACCAGCGGCTCCAGCACCTCCAGCAGCTCCAGCACCAGCAGTACCTCCAGCGGTAGGCCCCCCAGCTCCAGCAGCACGGCTCCAGCGCCGAGCAAACCACTCGCGCAGCTGCTATCGAGAGAGTGGCTCCCGCCGCGACAAGACACCCGGATGGGTTTAGCCTTAGGGGGTACAACTTCTAGGGTTTCCTACTTGTACTCCCCATCTTGTTAGTTCAATCACTTCTCTCATTCTGACAGAAAATTGCTCTGAAGTACATCCCGACCACCGAGCCGCCGGCCGATTTCCTGAGGAAGGCGGTGTACTTTCCGGCCTTCAATCGGTGCTTCGTCGCAATTGGCCAAGTGCGACTTGCGACGTCTGCGACGGTGATGACGTCGTGCAGCAGTAGGTGCCGTGCCCTTCTGCACGACTGGTGTGGTGATCGGCGTGCTGTATAATGTGTGCCTGCGACGACCTTTCTCCATGTACCATACCCATGGGGTTCTGGGTGGGCCTCGTGTGTGAGGTGCCCAAGCGTGAGTGCGGCATGGGAGTGTTAACGGGGGCTGGCCCCGTGCTCGCTTGGGGGGAGCCGACTTTGTGGTCGGGTGTGCGGGAGGTACAGCCGACCGTCTGCAGTGGGCGACGCCTACTTGCTCGGGAGGTGCGGCTGACTTCAACTTGGTGGTCGACGTAGAGACTCGTTGACCTTAGGGGGGGCGCCGACTTTAGGGCGCCGACCTGTTGTCGCCGACTTGGTGAAGCCGGCGGGTGGCATCAACCTGGGCAAAACGACGAGCACGTACAGCAATTGGCGGACTCCTACCGCTGACGTCGACGCCGACTTGGTGGTTTCCCCGTCGACCAGGTAACCAGGGCGACGAGGTTCTGCGCGGTGTGCGACCATCGGTCAGGAGATTTTGGCGAAGCCGACCTCGGGCTGGTATCCCGAGGTCGACATGACTCTTCAGGCGCAACTGTCGGCACATGGCCGACTTGGCACCTGCGCAATGTGCGTGACGATGCACGTCGTGCTCAACCGTC